GCCAATAACTACAGAGTAACCCTAATCATTCTTCAGCTGCCGTGGTAAATAGTACCCTGTTTGTACAAGGCTATTTAACTGCTGTTTGCCACTGACTGAAAACATTAATTGAATAACTTCAAAGAACACAGATTGCAGTACTCTTTAACTGCTCTATGAAGTAGCTTTTATCCAGATATCTGATAGTGCAGAAGTGTTATGCATACTCGAGTCTCAGAAAGATATGGAAACACACGTAAATTCTTCTGTCACAGAGCACAGTCTTTCTTATCCTGAAATCCTTATGCACTACTGGCAATGGAAAGGAGTCTTGAAGTGAATATTTACCTCATGTTTATGTTCAGACATCTTTACATTGTTAATTGCAAATGAGGAGGACTGTAGACCTGTTGATGTTGGCATTAAATATCCATAAGTCTATGCAAATCTGAGGTTGTGGTTGTTCTGTCTTGTACGTTTTGGATTTGTTTGGAAGAAGCTCTTTGTTGTTAAGCAAATTCATTTGGGACTCTTACTTCATAACAGTAGTAAAAAATGCAGGGGCGTGAATGAATTTCCTGATACAAATAATGCAAATGATACGTTGCCTTTTTGGTGCCATTTCAGAACAGTCAATAATTGATTCTTCTAAAGTGGCTTCTGAAAGTCCAGAATACGATATTTGGGTATTTCTCATGTTTCACCATTTATTTTTTGCACGCAGCTGTTGAAAAGTCACTCTTGCACCTTTACATACTGTGAGCTTATAGGTCTTTTGTCTTGCATTTCTGATGACAGTAACCTCATAATATTCCACACAGTAGTCATAAAGAATATAAAATTAGAACATTTTAATTTTAAAATGATTGAGACTTTCCTGTTCAAGTCATTGTTTTATGCATTCCATTTCCAAATAAAAAAACCTCACCGTACGGAATAGTTTTCTTTTGTTGCTGGAACATCGATGAAAACTTTCAGTGGTGTAACTTTGGAGATTCTGAATGTTTAAACTTCTTTGTTGTTGGCTTAAAACAAAACTGGATGTCCTTATGTTGTTAAGGCAGAAGAAAAAGTACTTACATAAAATGTCATTAAATGCATGGCAGCTCGTGCTGAATTATCAGTGTCTCGCTGCCTATTTGAGAGTTGGAGTGTAACCGAATAACTTCCTCACTTAGAGGATTCACTGTGATAAGCAATTAGCTCACCATCATACAATCTTCATTAAGTTAGCAGTAGGTTTGGAAATTGAAAGATTAGCGGTTTAGTTTTTTGTTTTTGATTAGGAGTTAATTGGGAAAGTCGTGCTTCTGGAGATGCTCTTGCACAGTAGTGCTTAGTGCAAAATAATGCACTGATTCTGTCCTTCCTTATTGACTCCCCTTTAGACACTGAAAGGCTGTTCTCAGATCTTTCCAGTGCCTTCTCCAGGCTGAACAGCCCCAGCTCTCTCAGCCTGTCCTTGTAGAGACAGGCTTGAGAACATTCTTTGGAATTGCAGCTATGCTTTTCTGTCTGTTCAGAACATTGGGTCTGATACAGCTCCAGCTCAGTGCTGAGTTACGTTAAAAGCTGGGATCGTGGCCAATCAACAGCTTACACAGGAAGCATTGCCTCCTTGCTGCTCTGCAACTCCCCATCTGCATTGCCTGAAAGCTTAAAGATGCAGATACCTAGCTTGGGCCGACCACCATAGGATCTTTCTCTACGTATGCTATCTAGTCTCCATCATGCACAAGTGTTTCTATTGAGTAGTGCTGGCTGTAGGAACAGAAAGGAGTGTTTCCATGTGGTAAAGTCAACAAACTCTTCAACAAATTGCTTAAGAACTGGTTATCCTCTCCAGCTCTGCCATCCTAGAAGTTGTCACAATCACATGTGGAAGAAAAAAACTTGAATCAGGAATTGGTGTTGTTTGAAGCCTTCTCTGACTTAAATTTGTGGATCTCAGAACAGCAGTGCTGGAGAAGCATGTGATCTGAATAACAATCCTGTTCACTGAACTTGACTCCATTACCCTTGGAATGCAGTGAATTTTGCACTGCAGCCTCATATAAGCTACATATAATCCTTTTAAGCTACCCTAATGTGCAAGCGTCAGCAACCCCTATGGATGTCTTTGCTTACTACCAAGCTCCTCCACAGGACGGCACCTTGAAAAGTAGCTTGAAGACATGAGACTCTGCAAGTGTCCGTATTTTTCACTGCTGTTCTCTTTTATCTCCAGCTTCGCAGATTTCAAATTTCAAGAAGCATCTGTCATTTGCAACTAGGGAATAGAAGCACATTCATCCCGAGGGATGGAAGAGAAAAGAAGATAAGTATTTTGGTTATCCTGTATATTTAAATGGCTGATTCTAAGTTCCTCTAGTGAGAGTGCCAGCCAAATCTCTTTCTCAGACTTTCTGGCCTTCTATCTCAGGAATTCTGATTGTGGTCTTCTGTTAATCATCGATGGCTACTCTCAGTTTGCAACAATATATTTGAAAAGCCAAATTCTGACCTCTGCATTTCTAAAAAAAAGCACAGCCTTTGGTTAAAAGTATCTGAGTGTGGAAAGCTAATTTAGCTGATACACAAAACAGGTACTTCATCCTGCTGAAAATTTCATCTTTCATGTTCTTACACTCAGCTACCAGCAGAATCTTTTGTCTCATTCAAATTTTTTCCCAGGTGAAAGGTAGCTCAGTATTCTTTCTGAGGCTGTGTCCTGGCATCACAGTAGTGGAGCTGAGCTGTGAAAGGCTCAGCACAGAAGTGAAAGGACACTGCCTTCTCTACTGAAGCTGCCAACTACCAACTCTTTTTGAGAGTCAAATTGAAAATTTCAGTCAGATTCTATGATACTAAAATGACACACAGTATTTGAAAAACATCCCATATATGAGTTGTTGCAAGGAAAAACGTGCTCAAAAAGTCCCCTGCAAGAACAGAAAAAGATAAGTTATAAAAGGGAGAGAATGCTGCAGCATTAACTCTGGGTAAGGACGCTGTGATCAAGCTCATGTCTTAAATATTAGCAAACAGCAGGGCTGCAGAGATCTTTGCCAGAGGGGATGAGTTTGTGTGAAGGTTTCAGCACTCAGGAATCTCATCTGCATGAGCAGAAGCATGTCAACACAGCGTGAGCTTTCAGAAGGCAGTAAATGAGTTGTTCTCCAGGCAACTGACATGACTGAGCCTAGTGCTGCTCTCTGTCAGATCCACATTCATGACCCGCACACCACTGGTCATATGAACACCAGCCACCATATTTGTGGCTTCTTGTTCCCTTGTTTGGAGGAAGGTCTCTCTAATCTGGTTTTAAGAATCATTAGTAGCACCAAAATAGGAGCCTGCAGGTGGATTTCCAAGGAGCAGCTCTTGGCCTTCAGCCAAGACATCTGCCAGAAGATGGCCCTGAGGGACACAAAGGGGACAGCGATGTCTGGGAACATCCAGTTTTGTTCTTTTAGGTTCAGATTCCTCCAAGGACAGCATGTGAAACCTCTTTGGACACCTTTTCTGTTTGGGCACCCTTATGGGGACAGTGTTTTCATTAGCTTCAAAGGAACAGCTCTCTTTTTTTTCATTGATCTGCTGCTGCTCTTCGTGCACCACCACGGAAGGTCTGGCTTCACCTGTGAGCACCTGTTAGGTAGCATTCACATCTTCAGGCTGAGACACCCCACCTCTAGGGCTCAAGGTCCACACCAGCTCTCTGAGGGGCACCTCCTGTAGATACAGTGAAGCAGCCAATAACAAGCTGAGTCCACATTTGCCTGCTTCCTTGGGAATCCATGCAGAAGACATGCTATCTCTTTACAAGGGGCAAGGACAGGGGATGGGAAAGGAGGCTATCCTGCATGCAAGCCCGCAGGATGTTAATGAATGGTCTCCCAGTTAATTCTGGGTGCAGAAGCTGCAGAGCAGACAGGGGGCTGGGCACCTGGACCTTCAATGCTGCTGCTGTAATCTCACTCTGGCATAATGATATGCCTAGACAGCTGTAGCAGAGGTCAATCCACTTCCATTGGTTCTTCATCTGGAGTGCATCCACCTCCATGGGCTGCAGAACAGTAGTCCCAGGCCAGGCCATTGCTCTATGGGCACACGTACTTTTCCTCCTGCATTTGTTCTGCTCTGTGAGTCTCCACCACCTCTTCGGTTCTGGGAACCCAAACTCTCTCTTCCCATGTAAAACTGGGCAATCAGCGCTCCTGGTTCTCTTGGTATCAGCTGTGATTGTTTACCACCAGAGGTCTTGGAGCTGAGTGTGTGGGATGGGGCAGCAGTGACTACTGTGACACCAGTAAGATTCTGTGATGACCACCGTGATGGTGGGAGTGGTGTTCAGCATGGCGTAAAAAGGAGGCTGTAGGACCCCTGGAGGGCACAGGATGGCAGCTAGAAGGCAGCCCCTGTGCCCAATGGGCAGCCTTTCTTTCCGGCAAGCAAAAAGGCACGGAGGAGCCATCCCCAGGAAAAGGGTCCTCTGCCTCCTTGACCCTCTTCCTTCTTCCACAAGGGAATCATTGAAGGCTGGGACACACAGCATATAATGGCAGGCTCAGAGAACTCCTCTGGCCAGCACAAAGCAGCTCAGGAGTAGAACTGATTGACAGACCAAAGCCAGAGCTTCCATGTCAGTATCTAGTGTCTCTTCAACTGTGTTAGGTTTTGGGTTTTTTTGTTTTTTTGTATGTGTGTGTTTCTTTCCAGTTAACTGCTGAATATACATTTTTTTTAAAATAAATAAGGTGGAGAATAAGAGATAATAATATAAGATGGGGAGTAAGATTCAAAAATTCCCCATATACTGAAAGTGACAAAGATGTTCTAAAAACCAAATTCCCTTTCTTCCCCAGGTCTGGTAACATTTCTTCAACACCACTGAAAAAAGTGTATTTCTTTGCCTCTTCAAGAGACAAGGCTAGAACTTTTGGCTGTGCCTAAAGGTCTTCACTTTGATTTCCACCCATATATTTTTGATGGCGTGAACTGACAATCTGGAGGCCACAGATGCAGGATGGGAATAGATCCTGGCATTTCTAAATAGAATGGCATGAGATGTGGCCGCAGATATGGGCACTGCCAAGTAGCACTGTGATGCACTCAAGGGTTGATGCCACTGCCTTCGAAGGGGGTCCAAGAAGAAAATGTCTGCGGTCAACAATACAGCTGGGTGAGGCTGCGGCCACATGCTGGGTCTTTTAGGTGGAGCTTGTGCACTTCTTTTCTCATCAGACCATTCTGCTGAATGAGAAGATTGGTGGAGTCAGTAGTAAATGGCATGTCTGCATCTTCTTCTCGGAACTTTCTGTGGTGGTAGTGGTGATCCTGATGGCTGCAATGGAAAGAATACAGCTGCATTATTTTTTGGCTGGGGTAGAATTGATTTTCTTCATAATTAGCTTGTATGGTGCTATGTTTTAAATTTGTGATGGAAACAGAGTTGGTAACAAATATTTCAGTTGACGCTGAACAGTGCTTATGAAAAAGCAAGGCCTTTTCTGCTCCTTACACTGCCCAGACAGAGGAAGGCTGGGTATGCACAAGAATTTGGGAAGGGATGGAATCAGGACAGCTGACCTCAGCTGACCCATCTGACCCATCCCAAAGGGTCCCATCTGATGTCATACTGACTGGACATTGCCAGGATTGATTTGGCATCAGTGAGTGGGTGGTGAGAACTGCCTTTCACATAACTTGGTTTTATAGGTTTTGTTATTGTTTCCATTTTTAATTACTGAACTGCCTTTATCTCATTCCATGAATTTTCTGACTTTTGCTCCTTCATTCTCATTCTTGTAACACAGAAGAGGGAATGAGTAAGCAGCTCTGTGGTTCTTAATTGCCCACCACACTTAAATCACAACAAAGTAACTCTATTTTCATGAGAGATCATAATGACTTTTGGGTAGGGTTTTTTTCTGTGTTGCTGGAGGGAAAGGAAAGCTCTTAGAGGGAGATGAAAAGGCCTATGAGATAAAGGTGGTGAGTTCAAGGCATTCATGTTAAAGAGGAGACTGTTGCAGTAGGAACCAAAGAAAATGGAGGGAAAAGAAAGGGGAAATGTCAAAAGTTTTCAGCGTCTACAGGATGCACAGGAACAGCAGAAAGATTTTATGATTTTGTGAACACAACATAAATTCTTCAAGAAAAAGTGATGAAGTTTGCCTTAAGGTATTGCTTTGATTTGGTTTGTCTTTGGTGGGAATTAGTAACTGCTTGGATAGGAAATGATTTTAATTGTGTTGTCTTTTCTCTTCTTTGCAAGAACTGGTGGAGTTCCTGCTAGATGTCAGAGCAAGTCACCACATTAATAATGATGTGTTAAAGCAGACGTACCAGAATGTAATCTGAACAAATGCCTCGTCAACTGCTCAGCCAACATTACTCCTCTCTCTTCTCATTTTTTTCATCACTTTTTCTTTCCTTTACATGTGGGATACTATAGCTGTGTTTTAATTTCTTAACTATGAAAGCAATGATAACCAGAGGTAAAGATTGTCTTCCTCCTGTACGAAAGGAAATGAAATCTCCTGCTCTTAGCTGTACTTCAGAAAGCACACTTAAGCCCTATTAGATGTTCTCATGGCTTTTCCCCAACCTTCAGTGCTGTAGAAATGCATGAACCAAGCTCTAGCACTGTGATAACCTCCCTCAAACCCAGCTGCAAGGTTGACCTTTCTTCTTAGTCTCATAAAACCTTGTAAATCTCTGTACCCTGTTCTGCTGCACATCTCAGCTTCATGGAGATTATGCTGGGATGAGGGTGTGACATTTGAATGTCTGCATTAACAAAGGAAAAATCAAGTTTTGCCTCTGAGGTTTTTTTCTCCCTGAGTGTCTATAGCCTGGTTCAGAAAGTCTGACTCTCTCATTTTTTTAGTGTGAAATTAAAGAGTAATTCCAAATAACTCATTGGGGTGACACTGTTGTAAATGCTGCTGGCAAAAGCAAAACTGGAGTGCAAAACATTTACATACGAGCATTTTCAGAAATTACACTCTGAATGGGTTCTTTAAAGTACTATTTTAATTACTGCTGGCCTACACAGTAATTACTTTTAAGGCAAACGTAACAGATGTAAAAGGGAACAACTAAAATAGGGAGATAAAACTGGCTATGGACGTGTTATCTGTAATAGAATTCAGTCAATATCTGCATAGTGCCTTGAAGGATAAATGCTGTCGAGGAGAACTTGACTTCATTATTTATTCAGATCTGGGTTCTCCAGAACTAGGCTGATGGATATACAGAAGTGAGCCTAGTGAACCTGACACTAAGGGCCCTAAGGTGATTAAGGAAGTGGAGCATCTGATATATAAGGAGGTGTTAAGGTAACTGGGATTGTTTAGCCTCAAGATGGAAAGGCTCAGCGAGGATCTTATTAAAGTACACAAGTAGCTAATGTTAATGAGATGGACACAAACTCTTCTCAGTGGTAGCCAGGGATAGAACAAGATGTGGTGAACACAAATTAAAATACAGGAAATTCTACTTAAACATCTTTTTACTCTTAGGGTGGTAGAACACCTGCAAAATGTTGTGGTGTCTCCATCCTTGAAGATACTTAAAATCTTGTTACACATGACATTGGGCAACCTGCTCTAGGTGGCCCTGCTTTAGGCAGCAGAGGTGCAAAAGACATCATACTTCTCTTACAACCTTGGCTGTTCTATGACTCTATGTTCCCATTATTTTCTTTATTTGTCTTCTTAAAAAATAACTTTTTTCCCATATCGCTTCATTCCCCCTCTCCTTGCTGAGCTCCTTCCCCAGCCCAATGGTAGAAACACAGAAAAGCAGGGTGGTATCTATGAAAAGAAACAGGAGGAAAGAGATCTTGCTAGCCTGGCCACAGCAGTTATCCTCTGACCATGCAATCATTGTGTAATGTAATGTAATGTAATTACTGTCACCAAGAACGTATCAGCAAGAGGCATCACCTACTTAGGGACTAACCAACTCACCAATTGGTAGAAGGAGTCAAGGTAAGTTAAAAGGTCTTCTCAGAAATTCAATCTACAGAAACATCTACAATCATCTGCCATGAGCAAGTCAATCAGCTTTGGCAGCATGGATGCACTGCTGCCAGAGTTTATGGACAAGTAGTTGTAAATTCACCTGAAAGCAGCATATTCTCAACTGTGGGAGCATCTTCCACTACCACCACAGTCCCATTGCTTCCTTGTGCACTGCTACTGGGGCTGCAACTAAGAAAGACCCGCTGAAAGGCACAGATCAATATTCACTTCTTCCAGGATCCTAACCACAAAGACCTCATAGATGGTCCTTCACACCTTCGTGTTCTTGCTTTCTCCTGTGTCAACCCACTGCCTGCTGAAGGAGATTCCAGGGGTCAAGTTGCCATTTTCAAGCTTGGTTAAATCCTTGCCATCAGAGCTTGATTCAGAGTTAAGACAAGCTCAACACCACTTCCTCCTCTTCCTCTTTTCCTGAATGTTTCTCAAGTGAGCCTTGTGTTGGCAGTACACCTAGCTGCATTAGACAGCACTGGGTTACACCTTGAAGATGTCATCACCTTCAGACCTATGGGTGAAGGGAGAAATATATGTGAAACGGACTCACCAGAGGTCAGATAAATGGCATCAACTTTAGCCTCCCCTGAATGGAGTCACTGTTCTATATCCTTGTCCTTCTGTATGTAGCAGCAGTGCAGTATCTCAGTTGCAGCACTGCTGAAGCCTTAAAGTGTTATCACTCTCTGTTCTTTGTGGATGCCCATCTAGTACATACATGTGTCAAGGGGTAAAGTAGTCTGCCAGAAACAAGCAGAGTTGAACTGGTAGTTAAGCAGGAATGAAGCAACTTGAAGGCCATGGTGGTGCCAAGAACTGGAATCCTCTGCTGCACTCATGTCAAGAGATGAGCTGTTTTCCATCCTAGAAGAGGTTGTTTTTGAAGGAAAAGCCTGCAACATTTGCCCTTCCCCAGCAACATCTCCATTTCCGGTTCTAACCTACCATGTTATCTCATATAGGACTGTCCCACACAGGATTGTCCTTCTCCTTCTAATTCTAGTACATTATTTTTGAGAAACAGAGACCAGAACAACACAATTGCACTTAAGATGGTAGGCAAGTCGAGAATTTACACAGTGGCATAATGATGTCCCACCATTCCCAACATTTGATTTACTTTCCTGACTGCTACTGAATGCAATGCTGACTTGCTTCATGTAACCACAGGATCTCACTTGGAAATGTGTTTAATCTCAATGCCATACTTGATTTACCAGCATTTAATTTCATCTGTCATGTAACTGTTCAGTCACTCAGTCTTGTAGTTTCTAATACAATTTTCTAGTCTGCTTAAGTTCTTGATACTTTGAATAATTTCATCCCATTGACAAATCTTGCCACTAGCTGCTTTTATACAGCACTTCTGGGTCACTTATCAAAGTTACACAGTGCTGACTATCATAGAACCTTAGTGGTAATTTTCCTCAACTGGAAGAACTGACCATTTATCCCTACCTATGTCTTATGTTTTAACCAGTAGTATATCCACAACAACACTCTCCTTTTTAATGTGTTGTGTTTTTTTTTTCCCTGTTTATGACATTCTCTTACAAAGGTTTCACAAATTTCAAACAGAACACAACAACCAATCAGATTACTGTAATTTTCATGTCTTCTCAACCATTCAGAGAACTCCAGGAGTTTTGCAAGGCAGGACTTTCTCTTGCAGTAGCAATATTAACTAGGCAACTGACCTTTGCTCCAGTATGTACAAACCTTAAACTCTGTCATTTCTAACAATTTTCCTGGAACAAACACCAGGCTTAAAGATCTGCAATTTTCCAAAACTCCACTGCAATCTTTTTTAAAGTCTGCTGTCAATGTTGTTACCATAAAGCCTTCAGACATTAAGGAAAGATTTGAGTAGGACATTACATACTACCTTATGCAATTAAGCTTCTTAATTTTTGAGGTTAACGAGAGCCACAGGACCAGGCAGTTACTTTCAAGGTTTACTCTGCTTATCTCCATCATAACCTTTTCTACAAGTACTCTTCTTTAATACTGACCTTCTATCAAGTCTTCATTTGAAAAGGGATTCGTTGGATGGGATTCTTCCAGATTTCTTCCGTAACAGATTTACACTAGTGATGAAGGGTGTGGAGGGCAAGTGGTATGAAGAGCTGCTGATGTTGCTTGGTCTGTTCAGTCAAGAGAAGAGGGTACTGAGGGGAGACCTCATGGTGGGCCTGTAGCTTCCTCATGGGAAGTAGAAGGGCTGTGCTGAGCTCTTCCCTCTGGTGACAGGGACGGGACCAAAGGAACAGCATGGAGCTCTGCCAAAGGAGGGTAAGTGTGAGGGTTAGGAAAAGGTTCACAATCACACCTTATTCATGTCATTGCTTTTTGGCAGTACATACGTTTGTGAACAACTATTTTTAAGGATGAAGCACAGGAAGAGTAAAATTTCATAAAAACCTCTGATGAGCTCCTTGAGAGCTAACTAAGAATTGCAACCACCATCTCTGAACCAAATTGATGCATTAGTTTCACATAAACAAGGTCACATATCCCAGTAGTTTTATGGTTTTGTTACTCTCTTTTTTTTACATTTTACTAAACAAGGAAAAAAAAAAAAAAAAAAAAAGTTTTGCTTTCATACATTAACTATGTCATTTCAGGACTGCTTCAAAAGCAATGCTTCCTATTTTATTATGTTGGCCCACAACATTAGAGGTGGATGTCGGTGGTATGGCATTAAAGGCTGAACTTCACTGCCAATATTGTTACATTTTGTTGCCATGTGACAGATGGCAGCTGAGAGGCAGCCTGACACAAGGGCGTCTGGCATGGAAACGCACATGAAGCAAAGCTACAGAACTGAATTCCTCTATGTGGAAAAAATGGCACCCACGGACATTCACTGATGAATGTTTATGGAGACCACACAGCGGCTGTGCACACGGTGAGGCAGCAGGTGGTGCATTTCAGCTGCCCTGACAGTGGGTCACCTCTGCCGATGCAAGTTTTTATGAGCGCAGCATGCAGGCTCTTGTTCACTGCTGGTGGAAATGAATAGCTAATGGTGGTGACTGTGTCAAAAAATAATGTTTCATAGCTGAGAGTTTTCTCTATCAAATTGTGTTATTGCACTCTTCCTAGCGGCTGCAGTTTTAACGGGAATAAATGGGAGGCATTACTTTTGGAGCGAAGTATATGTATTTTATATGAAGCCCAGGACAAATCCTCTTCAGTCGGCACGGCCCAGGCAAGCCATAAGGGTGCACACACACACACACACACACACACACACACGCTTTAACCACAGCCCATGCCTCCCCACCGCCCCATGCAGGCCCCGCACCACACAACTCTCTGCACCCATGTCTGACGCTCGGACAAGCTGCACGCATCTGTGTGGAGTCTTGTTTCCCGCCGCTTTCCACAGGGACAAAGCAAGAGCGGTAACGCAAACTTACCACAGAATCGCAGGATCATTACGTTTGGAAAAGCCCCCCAAGATCGCCTAGTGCAGCTGTCAATCCATTCCCCACCATGCCCACGAACTTCATTGCCGCATCCACACGCGCCCAGTAACGGTGACTCCCCGGGCAGCCTGCATCAGTGCCTCACCGCTCTTTCCGAGAAGAAATTGTTCCTAAATCCAACCTGAGCCTCCCCTGGCGCAACGTGAGGCGGCAGCAGCCCGTGGCGCGCCAATCGCAGCGCAGCTGGACAGCGGCCTGCCCGCCCCGCCGCGCCCCGCCCCGCCGCGCCCCGCCGCGCCCCGCCGCGCCCCGCCTCCGCCGCGTGGAGCCCCGCTGCACGCGGAGATGGAGCGCGGGACCGATCCTGAGGTCGGCGTGCGGCGGTGGCTCCGCAACGTGGCGCGGCCGGAGCCCTTCGCCGCGGTGCTGGGCGCGCTGCGGGGCTGCTACGCCGAGGCCACACCGCTGGAGGCCTTCGTCCGGCGGCTGCGGGAAGCTGGCACCAGGGAGGTCGAGGTGCTGCGCGGCGACGACGCGCAGTGCTACCGGACCTTCGTGTCGCAGTGTGTGGTGTGCGTCCCCCGCGGGGCTCGCGCCATCCGCCGGCCCATCTGCTTCCAGCAGGTAGGCAGGAGGGAGAGCGGCCGGACGGTGCCCCGCGCACGGGGTCGGCCCCGGAGGCAGCGCCGGGGCTGCGGGGCTCTTCCTGCCCCGCGTGCGTGCTTGCGTGCGCCTCTCCCCTCGTGGCCGCCCCTCCGCCCGCGGCCCCGTCCGCACCACCCCCGGTCCCGTCCCTAGAGAGAGCTGGCGGAGCGCTGAAGGCGTCCGGGCGGCGGTGGGCTCAAAGATTTGCATGTCTGGGGCTCGGGGGCTCGTCTGGTCCGACGAGCCAGCGTGGCTGGTTAGAGCGACTGTGAGGGAAGTACCACCTTCCCCTGTGAGAGGGGTGGGGGAAAGCAGAGCTACGCCGCGCGAAACGAGCTGTGCGAGCTTACCGAGCGGCTTTTAAGTTTGTTAAAAATCCTATATTTTACGCAAAAGGAAATGGAGGCCTCGAGAAACATTGAGTTCTCCTCCGGTGGCGCGGCCTGCGTTAGCGCCTTCTGGGGCACGGTGACCTGGAGGCCCTGAGCTGGGAGTCGGGGTGGGGAGGAGAGGCATAGGGCGCTTCCTGGGCATGAGGAGCAGGATCAAAAGGGCAGCACCGAACGGGCTTCCGTAAGGCAGGCGGCTCAGGTTGCTGAATGTAAACATCTTGCAGTGCGCATGCAAGTCTGGCGTAGCACTTGTGAATGGTTATACGGCTTTGTAAATGCGTAATGTAAGGCTGAAGTCTAGGCCTGGGTGTAGCTGGCATGTCTGCTTCTTTAGGCCACAGTTATTTGTGGAAGAGCTGTTGATTTAAAAAATCAATTCTCCCTCTTTCTGTCTTTGTTCAGTTATCCAGTCAGAGCGAAGTCATCACAAGAATCGTTCAGAGACTGTGTGAAAAGAAAAAGAAGAACATCCTTGCGTATGGATACTCCTTGCTGGATGAAAACAGTTGTCACTTCAGAATTTTGCCATCTTCATGCATATACAACTATCTGCCCAATACTGTAACAGAAACGATTCGCATCAGTGGCCTCTGGGAGATACTGCTGAGCAGGATAGGGGACGACGTGATGATGTACCTGCTGGAGCACTGTGCACTCTTCATGTTGGTTCCCCCAAGTAACTGTTATCAGGTCTGCGGGCAACCAATTTATGAACTTATTTCGCGTAACATAGGGCCGTCCCCAGGGTTTGTTAGACGACGGTATTCAAGGTTTAAACATAATAGCTTGCTTGACTATGTGCGAAAAAGGCTTGTGTTTCACAGGCACTATCTCTCCAAGTCACAGTGGTGGAAGTGCAGGCCAAGATGTCAAGGTCGTGTCTCCAGCAGGAGAAAAAGAAGGAGCCATAGGATACAAAGCCCAAGGTCTGGTTACCAGTCTTCTGCAGAAGTGAACTTTCAAGCAGGCATGCGGATCAGCACACTTACTGCACGTCTGGAAAAACAGAGCTGCTCCAGTTTATGTTTGCCAGCTAAAACACCATCTTTAAAAAGGAAGTGTGACAGAGAACAGGTTGAAATCGCAGTTAAGAGAGTGAAAGTAATGGAGAAAGAGATAGAGGAGCAGCCTTGTAGTATCGTTCCTGATGTAAATCAAAGTAGCTCCCAGAGGCACGGAGTTTGGCATGTAGCACCACGTGCTGTAGGTCTTATTAAAGAACATTACGTTTCTGAAAGAAGTAACAGTGAGATGTCTGGTCCTTCTGTAGTTCACAGATCTCACCCTGGGAAGAGGCCTGTAGCAGACAAAAGCTCTTTTCCGAGAGGAGTTCAGGGTAACAAACACACAAAGACCGGTGCAGAAAAACGAGCAGAATCCAATAGAAGGGGCATAGAGATGTATGTAAACCCAACCCGTAAACCCAATAGAAGGGGTATAGAGAGGCATATAAATCCAACCCGTAAACCAGGGTTGAATTCTGTACAAACTGAACCAATGGAAGGTGATTCTTCGGGGGACAGAAAGCAGGAAAATCCCCCAGCTCATTTGGCAAAGCAGTTACCAAATACATTCTTGCGCTCTGCAGTGTACTTTGAGAAGAAATTTCTTCTGTATTCTCGTAGTTACCAAGAATATTTTCCTAAATCATTCATACTGAGCCGCCTGCAGGGTTGTCAGGCAGGTGGAAGGCGGCTTATAGAAACTATATTCTTGAGCCAAAACCCATTAAAGGAAAAGCAGAACAAAAGCCTAACGCAGCAGAAGTGGAGAAAGAAGAGGTTGCCCAAACGCTACTGGCAAATGAGAGAGATATTTCAGAAGCTGTTAAAAAACCACGAGAAGTGCCCTTATTTAGTTTTCTTGAGAAAAAATTGCCCTGTCTTGCTTTCTGAGGCATGTTTGAAAAATACGGAGCTGACCTTGAAGGCAGCTCTGCCTGGGGAAACAAAGGTTCACAAGCACACAGAACATGGGGAAGAGTCCACTGAGGGTACTGCACCGAACAGCTTCCACACTCCTCCCTCAATGCCAGTGTGTGGGCAGACAGAGAGAGAGGAGCAGCACCTTGCAGAGGGGAGTGATCCACTCCTCAGGGAGCTGCTCAGGCAGCACAGCAGCCACTGGCAGGTGTACGGCTTTGTGAGGGATTGCCTGGAGCGGGTGATTCCTGCCGAGCTGTGGGGTTCAAGCCATAACAAATGCCGGTTCTTTAAAAACGTGAAAGCATTCATTTCTATGGGGAAGTATGCTAAGCTTTCATTGCAGCAGCTGATGTGGAAGATGAGAGTGAATGACTGCGTATGGCTTCGTCTGGCCAAAGGTACTTGTATTGCAAAACCAAGGGCGTCAGATGGGTGGTGGTCAGGCTTAAGGAGGGGACGGAAGAGCACTCAATATGGGTTTGGAGTTGGTGGTTTATTGGTAACAACAGGAGTTGAGAGAGGAAGACATGGTAGTGGTTGTAATCGATGTTGGGGAGAGTTCTTAGATCTCTCTTCCTCTGTGCATCTTTATTGACACCTTTTGTGTTTAATGGGATTAAGGTTTTATGCAGAAACGTGAATTCAGGACGCAGGCCTTCCAAAAAAACACAGTCCCTTCTGCTCTTGCTCCCCAGATTGCCAATATCTGTGACCAAAGCACTTCAGGAGTAAGTGTAGTCTTTTGGGTTGCCATAAAACATCAGAAAGAACTAAAGCCAAAACAGGACACGTGTATGCAGTCATTCCATGGGATTTTTCCCTCTCACATCTACCCTGTGAAAAAGACAAGAGTAAGGGATCTGTGCAATGCAGAAGCTGCCCTCCATCCGTTACCTTTCTGGAGTTCTTCTTTGGGAATGTATGATCCTTACTGAGCAGGATTTGGGGCTGGGTGAGTGGCGGTGCAGAGGTCATCCCGGTGGTATGGGTAGGACAGCTCTGAATTCTCTGGGAATCCCTCCTGTCAGTGATCTTCTCAGGTGAAGAGAGGCAAATCTTACTTCTCTGAAGTAGCCTCTCTAAAGACATTACCCTTGGGCATCGTTCTAGGCTGAACCTGTGGTTCTGTGGTTAACTGCTGTAGAATCTCACATGTAATTGTTCTGTGATTCCATTCTCCACCTACAGAATGTGGAATGTACTATAACCAACATGCTTGCAGTGTTCTTACCTAGTAATATACTTGGATCCTACAGTAATGTGAGTTGAAAATGGCATTCCTTCTTAAAAGGTGCAGTAGGGTTCTGAAATTACTACAGGTTCCCTGAAGTATAGGAGGAAAGTAGGTGGTCTGGTATTTGAGGTACACTTCCATAAGAAGCTGTTAATTCTAGTAAATATATTGATTAATCATTTAAAAACTTTGGCTCAAAACCACAGTTTTAAAAATATTGAAGAATTAAATATTTCAAAGGGTTTTTATTGTAAAAACACATTTGGTTCATAATCACTTGTAATGTCTTACTTCTGAAAAGAATAATAGCCTGAATCCAGGAAAAGCAGCTCGTCAACTTGATTTCATTTTCTCTGAAACTAATCCCTTTGTGCCTGAAGTTTAAGCTTGCATTTAATTGCTTTGCTGCACTGTAGGTGTTTTTCTCCCCAAAAGAAGTAGCAGTGATTTCTTGTAAATCATGACTACAATTCAGGAAATTGACATGTGATGTCAAAATGTCAAAAACTAATCATCTTGTTCCAGAACAGCTATGTAATGTGCTGATTTAATCTGTGTATCTGGTGGCCTGCATATTACGATTCCTCATTTAGAGAATCTTCTCACAGCCGCTGCATTTTTCAGTGATGTTCACTAGCTTCTATTGAAGTGAATCCTTTTATCTCTTTTTGGCAGTATTTTTTTTTTTTGGACATGAAAGTGTCTCTGCCGCAGAGAGCGCACAACCCAGGCAGGGTATAGAACTAAGCAACTGATTTCCATCTGATAAGTTTCAGTTTAAAACTTCATCTCTTTGTGTCAAAGTTTGTGCAGCAGCTGTGATTTGTGCTGAGCAGCTAATCTAACAAACATTTTTGTAGTGTCTCTTTAAATAATCCAGCTGTATTTTGCTAAATTCTACTTTAATTAGAAACATATTATTGGAAAGTTGCAACGATTTATAATTACTTAATACCAATGAAAATTTTGAGCTGCATCTGTGGAATTATTTGTTTGTT